TTCCAATGGGAAGTTCTTTCTGTGCATAAGCAGATCCAGAAAAAGCATCAGTGAGCAAGTTCACCTGCAGAATCAAGCCTGGTCAGTCTTCTGAAAAAACAAAAAAAGTGATCCCAGCTACTTTTTGTTCCTTCTCCTCAAAGAAAATCTACCAGGTTAATGGTAATTCAGCCCATGTTATTAATTACTGAGGCACATGGAGCTCTGACATTAATTCATGCCTATGAATTAAGTTACTGAGAAATAAGCATTTTTCTTGTGCACTAATAGTTGAAGATCTTACCCTCAAAAAGGATTTTTTAATGACTTAAAAAAAATCTCTGAGGAACAGCTGAATGGGCACAGAGAACTGTCAGGAGGAATCTGCCTGTGCAACATCAGTTAACAGAGATGAGTTGGAGCAGGAGTGGTTTCCATCCAACCCAAGGCTTCAAAAGGGCACAACACTTCAGAGAGACGACATGATATTATTTCACTTTGAAATTCTCATGCATCACTTACCACAGTTTCAAAACAGGATGTTTTAAGGATGGACCCTGGATGCTGCACAACAGAAATCCCAGTGCCTGGACTGACCCTGCTCTTGGCCAAGGGCTTCAGGAGCCTTTAGGGCTGAGGTTGCCACCTGCTCTGGAGCTCCAGTAAGTTAAATATAAAATTAAACCAGTCTTTTTCAAAGGTTAAATCCATAGTAAGTAACTATCACTTAATGCTTAAATTTTTTTATTTCCAGAAACTGTGCCTCATGGATCTACCTTGACAGAACTGGATTTCCTTGAGATGGATTGTTTTCACATCCTCATTACTGTTATTTATATTCAAAACATCCTCCTGTAATGAAAGTACAGGCAAATATCACCAGGTGTGAACTGTGAGCAAACTGTCACAGCACTGACAAGATCACAGGTAATCAAACTGATTAAGGACTGTGGTACCTCCTTTGGTCACAGCCTGCATTTCATCTGCTCTTATCTGTGTCAGAATAAAGTCAGGAGGATGTATTTGTCTGCAGAACAATCACACTCCTGAAAAATACCTCTCCCAAATTCTACTCCTGTGGCTAACTTGCAGTATGGAATAATGCTCCCCTCCAGCTATAGCTGAAGCCAACTTTGCCTCAATATTCTGCCTAAGAAGTAACAGAAATGCTTTTCTTGATCCTGCCATATTCTCTGCTTCCTTGGACTCTTACCCCACCAGGGCTTGAGCTGCAATATCTGACTTTGGGATGTTCAGCAGCTCAGAGATGTCCTTGTGTTGCCAATTTGAGTTTTTTAGGAGCTCAGCCCAGCAGTCTGATACAGGTAAGTTCCCTTTAAAGAAGGAGAGTGTGAGCACAACCCAAGCTTCATTTTTGAAGTCCCTGCCTTAAGCATAAGCAGAGGAGATTTGCTTTAAACAAATTAACAACATGCAGAGTCTGTAGGAACAAGCACACAATGCACAGACTCAGCTGCCAGAGGAGCAAACAGGAGGAAGAGATCCTTCCTTGTCTTTTGAAGGGCAAGAGTCAGGGACAGGCTGGGCTCTGCCCCTGGAGATACAGATCCTTCCAACCTCAGGTGACTGCCTGATGCTGTCAGCTCAGGGCCATCCATCTTAACGAGGGCTCCCTTGCCAAAAAGCTCTTTTAAAATATAACTTAATACTCTGCATACAAGAGCTGTGCCCCAAAGAGCTGCAGAGATCAGTTTCTACTCATTTAGCTGGGGAAAAGGTGAGCAGAGGGAAGAGCCCCGAAGTTTTTATCTGTTTTCCTCCCTACTGAAACAGGCCACAAGTGCAAAGAACCTTTTAGCTCTCCTGTCTTGGTTGTGTTCCCAGCAAACTCATCCCTCCCATGCCCATGGACCAGCCAACATGCATAAAAGGCACGAGAGGCAAGATGGAAATGAGGAGTTTGGTCACACAACAGTTTCATTACAAGAAAATGACACTTGGGAGAGGCCATTTCTACCTGAGCAACAGTTGGGACAAATTAACCAACACCAGGCTGGTGTCCAGGACTATCCTACTGCCACAGCAGCCTTTTCACACGGGGATTTGCAGGTGCTCTGGGAAGCTGCACCTAACCCAGAAAGCTCAGACACCCCCATGATCATCACGTTGGAAAAAGAAGTTGAGAGTGCATGGAAATAACCCAAGCACCTGGGGCTTGTGGCTGGGAATGAAGGCATCGAGGTCCCTGTGACCAAGGGCTTGTGGCAGATATTGAAGGAATTTTTCCACCTGGTTTATCCCTGGGAATCAGCGACAGCTCCAACAAACCTTGGTCCTTGCTTGAAAAAGTCTCATGTGGCTTAGCAAGGACTGCTCAGTTTTAGAAGCAAAATTTCCACTAAAGTTTGTCTCATCCTTCAGCCATGCCAATTCCTGCTCTGATTAAAGACATCCCAATCCATGAGGCCACATAGGCAGTGGTTTGGAGGCTGAATTCAGGACCACAGTCCAGGCATAAAATTGTTTGAGCTTCCATAGACACAAACCATATTCTAAGGAACAGACCAATTAAGCTGTAAAAAAAAAAATAAAAAAAATTCATTCTCTCACTAACCAGACAGGCCTCAGGCCTCATGACCAAGATGAAAAGTACTTTTCCTTCCAACATTATGATCTTCTAATATAACTGTGAGACAAATTCTGCAAATATTCAATTGCTAAACATCCGAGGAAAGCTTGTATTACTATTGAAAAATAAAAAAGCTCCAAGCCAAGCTTTTCTAGGAGTAGAGAATTTTGGCAGCAAACACATGACTCTATAAAAGAGCTCACGTTACCAAAAAGCATTTGACCTAAAACTCAGGCCACTATAAAACAGCATCCCATATTAGGGACCCAATGTGTGTACTCAGATGTGGAAAATTTGTTCTTTAGCTGTGATCCAAGACTGTCCCCTCTGCAGAGCAGCAGTCCTGGGGGGGTCAGGGAACACTGTGCCAGCACTGCTGGAAGGATTTTTTTCAAGGCAGTGTTAACAACAACTCTGGTCCTGCAGCCAAGGGACACTTCCCAGTGCCAGAGCCCTGTGAGGCTGCACAAAGCAGGAGAAGGGGAAGCACTGCCAAAACCTGACTGGCAATAACCTTAATCAGGGCCAATGAGCCCTCAGAGTGCTTCCAAGCATTAAAGCATTAGCTCTTGGACAGGGCCAGCAAACTTCCATCAGATCCCAGGCAGGGAGTTCAAGTGAAAAGTAGAGTAGGCACAAAATTCGAGGGGTTTGGCAGCAGCTGAATCCTCTGATCAGAAGCAGGCCATTATTTTTGGTGTCAGCTGAGGGGCAGGCTAGGAGTAACCACAAGGCTCAGAAGGCAGTTCCTGAAAGGGAGAGATGAAGAGGGATTTTTTTTTTCCCCCCCACTACATTCAGGAGCTGTTTACATTCATTCATTGGAGGCTCCACCCTTCACGATCATCTCATCCCATCACCGATTTTACTTTTCTGACAGCACAAAAAATGCACCCTAATTCTGTCACAAGCCTTCCCATCCCTTCCTGCTCAACTCACAACACAGCTGAAAGCACAATTCACGAGTTCCAGTCGTGCCCTGCTTTGTCCCTTTGCAATTTCTCCTGTATTTTGGGCATAGGAGCTCTAAAAGGATTCTTAATTTCTCTGCCCCCAAGTCAAGGATCCCATTCCAGCGAATCCTTCAGTTCTGAAGCTCTGCTAGAAAAAAAAATCTGCCCTATCTCAGCACATATCCTAAACTATTCAATCCCATCTGCAGTCTGGCTTGTGCTTTGAGGAAAATAAGCCTGGATTAAATGTTTTTTTTTGCTGTTGGTTTTTAAACTAAATGCAGTTTAGGGTTTACAAAAAATGGTAGCATTTTCTGTGACTGACTCACTCTTCCAGTGGACCTACTGGATTTTTCAGGTTATGTAGGTGAAAATAAGGAGAAGTTAATAAATTGCTTCTGCCCTTTTTGAGTAGGACTGTTGCATCCCAAGCCTGCCAACAAATAAATACTCAGAAAAGGCTTCAGAACCAGTCCATCTGTGAGGAGCAGAAAGAAGCAGCTGGGTGCACCAGGATGATGCACATGCACAGGGTCATACCAGCTCAGAAGCTGCTGATTAAACCATAATTTCCTGTAAATTTGCAGCATCAATGCCTGGCACAAGAGGTGGAAACAGCAGGACACCTCCCTGCCAGCTTCAGTCCTGCAGCAAGAGACAAGGAAATAATGAAGCAAACAGAAATAAGGAAGTGAAAACTACTTTGGAAATGGAAACTGAAAGAGAAGGCTCTCTAAAACCTCATTAGCAATAAAATAAGCCTCAAAGGAGGTATTAATACTTTTAGAAGGAATGGTGCCTGAAGCACCAGCTGAGCAACTCCACAAGCATTTTTTCCTGCAGAATAGAATGTGCCATCCTAGTGCTGTAGGCAAGAAAGGATCCCTCAACTCAGCCTTGCTTGGGAAGATCAAGACAGAGCCTGAAACAAAAGGAGGTTTCCAAAGTGTGCCAAGGACAGCAACTCAGCACCCAGGAGGATTTAGTTCTTCCTCACTGTCACAGTGCTACAAACAAGTTACAGTAGAGAAATTCCAGAATACTTTGTTCTTTTCTTATCTGGGAAAAAAAAAAAAAAAGGTGTGAGGGGATAAAGGAAGGAAATTGTAAAGAGGAGCAAACTGCTCTCTGCAGAGTTTCACCAGCCTCAGTTTCAAATCCACTGGCAGATCAATCCTGTCTGCCTTCAGTGTTATCACCCACATTATTTCAGGACAAACCAGCAATGACCTTCCAGGAACCAGGATCTGAACCACCCCCCATGCCATATGCATTGCAGGACGGTGACACAATCACTTTGTTCTCCCACCCAACCTTGCTTTGCCCCCCTCAGCTCAGAGGGCAGCTCCACCTCCCAGGGATCTGTGGGCAATATAAAAGAAGCTGCTGAAGGACAGAATAGATATGAGAGGAGACAAGGATAATAAAAGGGAATTCAGAGTTTTATTAAAAAAAAAAAGCAATGTAGTGTTGAAACAAAAATCAAATTCAATTAGTTTTCCTCTGATTTGAATGGCTACAAAAATAGATTCTACCCAAATCCATAAAGCCAGTTAACAGTACCATAACAAACAAACCCCAAAATTACTCATTCAGATACCACATACAGCAGTCACAGGAGTCTAGCATATATTATTTAATGTTTTTTTCTTAAAGTAAATTTCTAAATGTTTCCGTTAAAACTGAAATACCCATAAGATTTTTTGAAAAAGTACAAAAAAATAATTGGAGGTAACAGTGTGCGTTTATTAAAATCCTGCACCAAGGCAGTAAAACATTTATAATTTAAAACCCAGCCCAGTAGAAAATAGAAATGTGCAAACATTTGAATGTTAGATGTACTCAGAGGCTTGTGGTGCATCAGACCTGGCATCCACTGCTGTCCTAAAGCAAGGCAGGCTCCAGCAGGAGAGGTCTCCAAGAGGCACTAAAGGGGAGGCAGAAGCACAGCACAGGAGCTGCAGCTCCCCAGTCTGGCTGCTGGGAGCACTGGTGCCCTCTCCCCAGGGACGGTTTGCCCATCAGTAGTGTTATGGCACTCGATGCAATGCCAGGAAGTCCTCGGTGAGTTCTGGTCAATCTGCTGCAGGAGGGAAGAATGCAAAAGCCATTTGAAAAGGCAGGCATTGAAAGCTAATGAGAGCTAATGAGTTGATACACTCAGATTGCTGCTGGGAGCTCTGGCTGCCTCACCAGCTCACTGTGTAAGAGTCAGGAGCCTTCAAAGGATTTTTAGCTCTTCCTTTACCACTGGTGTAGCACATAAGGTGCTGAACAGTGCTCACACACCACTCAGCCAGCAGATTCCCACCCTGAAAATTCAGGTCAGAGCTCTGCACAAAGCATTTAAATGAGCTGAAGCTTATAAAGCAATTTCATTCTACTTTCTGCTTCCTTTGCCTACTTCAAATCTCTTTAGCCTCACCTACCTCCTCCATTACTTAGTCCATGTCCTAACGGACTTCTTGCCAAATTTCTTTCTGCATAGCTCCTGCAATGACACAAGGAGAGATTCCTTATTGCAATGCAGTCTCATCCCATCCACTCCCAGATGCCGACAGAAGACCAGGATGAGGTAGTGTCCAGAGGCAGTGCACAGAGCAGAGCATGTCAGGCAGTCGCTGATCCTTCCACACCAGCAGTTACCAATCCCACCAAGCCTCCTGCATCCGTGGCAGACAGTAGTCCTGTGCCTACACTTGGTAGCCCCTGGCCACTCTAGGGAGATGAGATAAAGCCCCGCAGCCGTGGTGGTAGCTCAGCTCTATTGTACAGACAGAATGGGAGCAGAGACACTGAACACATCCAAGGGACAGTGTCAAGCCAGGATTAAAACTCCAGAGTCCCATCCTTGACCAACTAAGCCCGTGTGGCCTGCCCTTAGATCAGTATGGGTTGACACAAATAGAAACCTGTATGCGAATACTCAGAGTCCTGCTCCTTGGGGATGTGGGAATGTGATCTCTCCTGCTTTTCGGAGAGAAAGAGACAAAGCATTATTCATGAAAATACGTCACGGGACAGCACGTGAAAGAGAACCTGCCTGTCATTATTGCCCTTTGGGAGCTTGTGGGATGCAAACGTGACCAGATTCCAGCAGAAGGATCCCTGCCATCAAGTGGGCATCCCCCTGCTGGCACCTCAATCTGCCCTCCTCCCCTGCCAGCCCCAAACATCAGGAAGAGAAGTTGGCTGATACTCACCCCCTGCCCCCCTCCAGAGTACTCTGGATCTCCTTCAGCACTTCTGGAAAGCAGAGGGTTAAAGCAGTGAGCCAAACCAGCAGGGATCTGCTTTCAGGCAGCTGCCTGACCACATTCCACCTCCCCCTGAACAGCCTCCAGAACCTGCCTCCCCCACAGCTCAGAGGTCACTCCTTGGATCATCACTGCCTCTTCAACCAGGTTTTTACTGGGCAGGCTGGCACACAGGACTGAAGCAGTCATTTGCCAGAGGAAATGCTGCCAACCCCTGTGTACCAGAGCCCCAAAAGAACTGTCTGTTCCAGCTGTCAACTTACACAAGTCCTACTGGAAATAAAGATCCTTCTCTTATCTCAGCAGGGAATGCAGCTCTGCAGAACAACCCCAGCCCAAGGGCATGGCTATCTGTCCAACCCCTCATTTCTGGGGATTCAAGAAAAACCCAACATTTCTACCAATAATTACAGATCCCTTGGAACTGGAATCCACAAAAGTCCCAGCAGATTTCTTCTTTTCCCACCCAGAAAGGCACCTTCCCACTCAGCACCAAGACTTCATCTCACTCACTTTCATCATTGAGTAAGGCATGTTCCATCAGCCTCCCAGACTTCCTTTCTAAAAAAGAATAGGAAAAAAACTTTTACCTAGAAATATTTTCCCATTTTCCTGAAATAAGTGCAGCTTTGAAGAAATGCACAATGGAACTGGATTTCTTCCCCACATTAAGAATTTTTTGACTTTACTGAATGTTTCACAATTAATCCTTGAAGTGTCTCACACACTGAACTATTTCTTTCAGCAATACTAGGTTGGATAACAGAAAAATCTAAATAAGTTCAGACCTTTCCTCCAGGAAAAACTCTGTTCTATCCTTTAAGGGAATCTTCCACATGTAACTTACTTCAGAGCTATCAACTAAATGCAGTCCAGGCAGGTCACAATGTTTCCCCCACATCCCTCCTTTATTTTTCCCTTTCCTAGGTAGAAAATACCAACTTTCAATAACTTTCCAATATTCAATTGAAAAGACAATTTGAGGTTTACACACAGCATTCTACCCTCAGTACACTTGTGTTTTTTCACTTACCATCTTCTCCAAAGTCATCTGAACTCTTTCCTGATCCCCTAAAAAAGGAAAGGAGGCAAAAAACAATTACTGATCCTGAGGAATAGAGGTGCAGAGAATTCCTGTATGTGCACTGGAGCTACAAGAGGTTCCAGTGCACATCAACTAAATGGTTTGCTGGGTGTAGGAAGGGTTTCATCACATGCTGATGATGCAGAAGTCTGCAGGCACCACAGAACACTTCTAAACCCTTGGAATAAAATTCCTGCAGGGTCTCTGTGTCAAATCTACTCTTAATTGCTGATGTTACAAGAGGAGAGGAGGAATGCTGGATTTCCCTTCTCAGAGCAACAGCTCAGCCTCAGCACAAGGGAACAAGCAAAGCAAACCAGGGCTTGCCCCAAGTTTGTGACTCCAGCTTAGGGATACCAGCTCCTGCCTTGTCCTACCAAATGTACTCCAAGTAGGAACAGCATCAGGGGGAAGGTTACATTTCCTGATGCCAGTCCCTCTGTGGATGCTAATTCAAAGGGGTTTGCTTTCCTCCCTACTCAGACACAGTCAGTGTGCAAGAGATTACAGACATCACCTGGATTTCCTTGCAGCATTCTCTGTGCCAGACTTGCTGTGCACGTGATTGTTGCTTGTCACTTCTGGCATGTCCACGATGCACCGAGGCTCCACCAACCATTTGGTGGAGAGGGAAAACCTCTCAAACTCCGACGGTGAGATCAGATAGAAACCTGCAGGGGATTGGGAATTTATAAGGGCAATTCTCAGGAAACACTTCCAGAACCAAAGGTGATCCTAAAAAAGAACAGATCTAGCCATGATATATATTTGGCAGAAAGGGATTGCTTTTCCTTCTATCTAAGCAAGGAGGGATCATTGAGGAAGCTCAATGATTACCCCAGCTCCCCTCTGGTTAGCCTAGAGACCATGCAATTTAAGGTTATGCTGTATAATTATAATTCTGTTGTCCTGTGCTGACACTTGGGAAAAACAGCACAGAAAGACAGAAAAAATGAACGGGAAAGCAGTGATCCACCTTCAGCAGCCATAGGATGTTGGATCCCAGTTTTGCTGTGAGTGTACAGGAGGCACAGTGGAACCATTTCCCAGAGCCCACTGCTTAGAGAGCCATTCCCCAAACCAGACGAGGAGGGTGGCCAGGTGGAAGTTATCTAAGGGGCACATCCAAGCTGAAAACCACTATTCACTCCTGTATTCATTAACAGTAATGGAATAAACTCACTCCTGCGTTGGTGCCCGTTGGCAGCTGGTACAGCCCAGAAACACACAATGAACACATTTCTGAAACAGCCTCACGTGCACACAGCCAGCTAAAAACCACTAAGTTGTTTCCCACTGTCTCAAGCACACGACAAGAGGGATGATCTGGGAGAAGGCCACCTCACCTTGGCCATATTTGGTGAAGACACAGGACGCAATGCCACTCACATCCTCCTTGCGGATGCAGGGGTAGCGGATCTGCAGCTTGAGGAAGGGCAGGGAGATGATCTGGATGTCTCCCAGGTTGGTCAGCACTGCCAGGTCATTCTCACTGTAATCATCAGTCTTGCAGCTGCCAAAGTTGGCAACTGTCACCTTCCGTACCCTGCAGCCCTCCAGGGCTGTCAGCTTGAGCTTCAGCTTGGAGCTGACCTTGGGCAACGTGAAGACCTGTCACAGAAATGAGACACTGACACCTCTTCCTGCACAAAGCCAGCAGCAGCTCCCCAGGACATCTGCTGTTCCCTCCCTGGGTCATGTTTCCACTCCCAGGGAATACACACAGGTGTAACCAGAGCCAACCCACTGCTCGTGGCACGAGAATGAATCAGCCACAGGCAGTGGGAGAATTGCTTCCTGTTCTGACATCAGTTTTGCCCTTCAGGCTGTAACCACACTTCTCCCCTATTTTTTCAAAAATCTTCCCCATCTGGCTAAAAATTAATACAGAAAGAGAACAGGGCTTGAGTCAATATGCAAAACAAAAAACTTTTAAGCTACTTCACAAAAATAACTACAAATTCCTGCTTCTGCACTAACAACAGAAAAGCTCTTACCCAAAACCAGAAGCAGTGTTGTCCAAAGAGTATAATATAATATAGGCATAAAATTCCTATATTCAGCATGTGCAGCACTATGCTGAACACCCAGTTTGCCAGCACACACCTGATTTATGGACTGTACCAAACAGAAGTGCTGGCCCAGGGCAGTTCTTCAGGTACAGGAGAACAAGCACTCCCAAGAGTTCTCTCCACTGAGCAGTGCCCAGTGCTTTAGCAGATTTCCTGTACAATTCATTGGTACCTCCCTCCCTCAATAGGTGACACTCACCTTAAATTGCTCTTCAGATACCACCAGCAGCTGGTGGCTGCCTTGCATATCAGGACTCTTGGAAAGGTCATGTGCTACTTCTAGAGGTTCTGGGAGGGGAGTGCTGCGTCCATCCAACACAAGTATCCCCACAACAGGAGCCCTGTGCATCAGCTGAATCTCTTTGGCTAGACAGGCAAGATAAGGAGGAAAAACAAACAGAAAAAACAAACAGGAGTCTAGTCAGAAACACTGCTAGAAACTCATTTACATCCTCTCAACACTGGAGACCTATACAGTGTGGTTATAGAAATGCTGCCTAAAAAGATTTGGTAGTGAAGGGCATTAGGGCATTCTGACTGGAGTGATCTGTGTTAAACAAAAACCATTGTTACATAAAGACAACAGGCCCAGCTGTCAGAACAAGGGATGTGCAGCAAGGGTGGATGGCAAACTTCAGTGACAGCTGACACAAATTCACATTTCTGCAGTGAGTAGGAAATGAGGCTGAGGCACATCGAGCAGTGCTGGAGCTCCAGTTCAGCTGCTGCAGTGAGCAGTGCTTAGCTCAGACACTGCCACACTTGGCTCCCATCACTGATAAACAGCACTAATTGAGCTCCTGTGAGCGATGGCTCAGACCCAGCAGAACCCTGCTTTCACAAGGCACTTACCCTGCTCTGCCCTCACAGGCTCGTCCATCCTCCTCTCAGCTGGAGGAACACGTAAACAGAAAGCATAGACTGTCCCTCCATTGGTGCCAGCCCACAGGGACGGGCAGTGCCGGGAGCCTGCAGTGACAAAAAAGCCCATGAGCAAGGCACCATCCATGACATAACAGCTTTCCCTGGCTAGACAAAACGTTCCTGTCTGCACCCTAAATATCTTTATATTAGGGGAGACCTGCCAGGCAAACTGCAAGTTCTTAACTTTCTTTTCCCAATACATGTTCACCAGCACCCCTTACAAAGGGCACTGCACAGAAGCAAAGGCAAAAGTACCACCACAATTGCTGTGTCCAGTTTTCACACATTTATACTACAGATGAGCAGAGTAAACTTGTGCATGCTACTAGTTTGGGCTCTGATGCACAACCAGCCACCACCTTCACCAAAACTAAAAGGCTCTGCTAGAGACAGGGGTGAACTTCAGAGCAAAGAGAGAAGGAAAAGTTTATACTAAAACGTCAGATGCCAATCCAGAACATTTGAAAATCATATATAAAGACTTGATTCAAAGATGAATGGCCACTTGCCTTGGATTAGCCAGCAGCCCAGAATGGCTGAAGAACAATTCTACATGACAACATATGCGCTTGTTCTATATCGGTTTTTCAGCACAGCACAAAGTAGGACACAGGAGGTGCCGAGTTTTCCTGGCAGTAAATCCTAACACACTCCTTGGCAGAAGAAGCAAAAACCCATTTGGAAGAAGAGAGAGATGCTTTTCCTACTCACTGTCTCTCAGGAAGGTATCAGCAAAATACAAGGTTCGCACAAAGCCAGTGAAAGAATCTTCTGCTGAGCGCGCCTCGATCTTGCGCTGGACCGGAGCCAGCTCCATCTCCTGCAACGCATCCTGGTCAAACTTGGCATTTGCTTCTTGCACCTTCACAGGTGAGAAGACACTCAGTCAGGGACAGACACAGCAGAGAGAGAGAGAAGGAGTGTGGCAGCAATAGGAAGGCACAGCAGAATCACAGCAGTGACCTTGTCCTCTGCACTGATCTCTAAAAACGTGCCTGTTTTTATCTAACAGAGCAGCATCAGAACCGGACATTCTTCCCTCATACCAATTGATCTGAGAGCAGGGCTAAGACCACCTCCTGCTCTAGGCAGTCTCGGCAACCTCCAAGCTGCAAACAGGTAAGAACCCAAAAAGGTGAAGCCCTCACCTCTGAGGCGTTCCCAGCAGCTCCTCGCCGCTTCCTACTGGACACGCGGCTTCTCCTGATCCGCCGGAACGACTGCCGGAGAGACTTCTTCAAGGATTTCACCCTTGACAGGGGACCCTCCAAGGCCAGCTGGTCACTGGGGTGCAGTGTGCACCTGGAAGAGAGAGAATGTAGCCTCATGGTCACTTTCTACTGGGTGGCAATCACTCCCAGGAGTCCAACAGAAACACACAAATGTTGGAACACACTTATATTTTCTGGAAGATCTTCAAGGGTGGAGAAAAAAGAGAAGCAGTTCTTGCTACAGTGACAGCTCTTGAGAAATCACTTATCACACCTTGCTTTGTCAGTAATTCCAGGTCATCATTAACAGAAGGATTACCACGGACCCCCTGGAAAGATGACACTTACTTGACGAAGACCAGTCGCTTCTGCTGATGGTCAAAAAGCCCAAACCCATGACTGGTACCAAAGGCCACAAGCTTCCACTCTGAGTGCAGGGCCAAAGAGGTGACCACAGCTGGGGGCTGGCATTGGACAAGGACAAATGGCTGAAAACCAGCTTCAAATCGAACAGGCCCATCTCGAGTTTTTAGCTTCTCGTGACCCTTCCATCGATAGCCCTCTTGGTCCTGCAGGAGATCTGCTTCTGCATGGTCCACCACATGCTCTGCATCCTCATCATTCAGTTCCATCACCAGCACCTGAAAGGAAGAGAACAACTCTGCTCAGCTTTGCTGTGCAGGCAGATCTCCAAGCTGCAGCCCTTCCCTACAGATGGCAAACTACAGCACCTCTCAGGGCAGGGAAATAACAGCAGATAATGTCTAAAATACCAACTACAGAAAGCAGAAAATCCCAGAATGGTTTGGGTTGGAAGGCAAAGATCCTTAAAGATCACCTAGTTCTAACCCCTGCCATACCTTTTGTGGTCAGAGTTCCATCCAACCTGGCCTTAAACACTTTCAGGTTCCATCCAACCTGGCCTTAAACACTTTCAGGGATGGGGCACCCACAACTTCTCCAGGCAATCTGTTACAGTGCCTCACCACTCTCACAGTAAAGAAGTTCCTCCAATCTAACATCTAATCTAAACCTACTCTCTTTCAGTTTGAAGCTACTCCCCCTTGTTCTGTCACTCCAGGACCTTGTAAATAGCCTCTATCATGTTTTTTGTAGGCTGAAATTAGGTGACCTCAAACCTTCCCTTCTCCAGGCTGAACAATCCCAATTCTCTCAGCCTTTCCTCACAGCAGAGTTGTTCCATCCCTCTAATCAACTCTGGACTCACTCCACCAGCTCCATATCCTTCCTGTGCTGGATGCAGTGCTCCAGGTGGGGCTTCACCAGAGCAGGGTCCCATGAAACATTTCCAGAAAACAGATCCATTTACCATGAGAGAAATGGGAAGAGCACATCTCCAGATTACACTGAAACCTGCACTGAAAACAATGTTTATGTAGATTGTTCACATTCCAATACCTGTCCTGCTGTACCAGCTACAGCCAAGTATCCACTGTATTTACACAGGTAGATCTTCTGGATCCCAAGTCTTGGATCATCACTGTAAGGATCAAAGGTACCAACCTAGGCAAGAGAACACAGAGGGGCTGGTCTTTAACTGGGGCAGGAACCAGAAGTGCCCGGGTTTTCAGGAAGTTTTACAAGCAGGAGTTTTACCTTGCGGAGGGGAGGCCACTCATCCTCCCCCAGGGTGTTCATGTTGTCATTGGGATCAGCATCAGTCAGGAACACTCTCACTGTGCTCAGCTTATAAAGAAGGTGCAAGCACACACCAGAGGCATCCCAAAACCTCACTGTGCCATCCTCATGCCTGGGGAGAAGGGTACAGGAGCACACATCACACATGGAGGGTAAAACAGGGGAAATACAGAACCAACCAAACAAACAAAGAGAAAGATTTTTGGCTTCTTGTGTATTTTTGTGGTTTTTCGTTTCGTTTCAGGTTGTTGGGTTTCTTTAATCCAGCTGTTCTTGGTGATGTGATACCATTACACTAATTTAAGATTATGCCAAAAAGATATGGAAAAGGCAAAAAGCTTAGCATATGGAAGGAAAAACTCATCCAGGCAAAAATACTGTTACTGTGAGGGAAGGGAAAAAATAAAATAAATTTTAAGAATCAAGCTTTACTCTCAGTTCTCCAGGTGAAAATTTGCAACAGTCTCCCAGTGCAAAAGTAGGAGCTTCTAACATGCTCCATCAAGAAGGAAATCTCAGGAACAGCCCACTGAAACTCTCAAAAGTGCTTTGAAAAGAAAATGGTACATTTTTCTGCAATGAGACAACCTCTTGCTAGCTACTTCCACCTCTTAGCTAGATCTGTTCATGCTGATCAAAGCAGACAGGAGTCCAAACTAACCTCTATTTTAAGATTCAGAGTGTAAGGTAGAGGGAAAAATGCTTCAAAACATGAAAGATTAAGCTCCACTTTCACACTGCTGCCTTTGAACCAGGCTGGATTAGTGCCTGCACTCCTACACACTTTGGGAGTAGGGGGAATGGATAACACAACAAAACTAAAAATCAGCCACTTTCTGGGTTATCTGTGGACATCATGACCTGTTTGCTCAGAAGCAGCAAAATAAATTGGCTTTACAAAGCCAGCAGCACAGCTCTGAGAAGCTGCACTGTAAAGCTGCAGTCTCTGCCCTAAAAGATGAGAAGACTTCAACTCCAAAGGAAAATTTCAGTCAGTCAAAAAAAGGGGAACTGGAACTGGAGAGGGCTCCCTGATGGCTCTCAGGTCAGTACCTACCCTGTCAGCAGCAAGTCCCTCTGTGGAGGATCTGGAGCAATGTTGGTGCCACCATCAATTGGCCAGGGCTACAAACAGAGCAAGAGAAGTGTGTGACTGCCTAGGCAGTGACAGTGTGGAGAGAACAGAAAGTCAGCAGGAGGCCATGAACTCCAGGGCAAGTGGCAGTAAACAGTCCATGCTGTCAGCTTTTGTTTGGATTAGATGTTCCCATTCTGACACCAACTGTGCATTTTAGAAGGCATTCTGCACATTTCCCCGAGAAGCTTCATGCTTATACATGAGAACTTTGCTACCACCAACAGCTGGGAACACTCAGACTTCCCCTCTGGCTTGTCAAAGCTTAAAAAAAAAAATAAAATCACATTTTAATTCCCCAGTGTAACTGTACTGGTGGTGCTTTAGGAAAAAGCCTATCTTGACCCTGTTAAGAGGCAGGACAGTATCTGGTGGGGCTGAACCCTCTGCAGATCATCAGGAACACAGACCACCCACAGCCGGGGCAGTCACACGGACCTGAGCACGGGGGGACACGGGGGGGACACAGCTGCCATACCATACTGGAGTAGTGGATGTTCTGCTTGCTCCCAGCACTGATTATCCGCTCCCAGAGCTTCAGGGGGATGTTGGAGACGTGGTGGGAGCAGGTGATGGCTGAGCAGTGCAGGGAGGCCAGGTATGGGGGGTGCACTGCTGGCCAGCCTGCACTTTTCAAGTCTATGACCACGAGCTCTTCTTCTGCCAGTGCCACCAGGGCAGAGGGGTCATCGAACTCTGCAGAAACAACATTCACTGAGGCTGACAAAAATCACTGTCCAAGGTCAGTGCTTCCTGTAAGGCTGCTTTGAAAACTGTCATCACACAGCTCCACATCAACATTTTTGTTGGAAAAAGATCTTAAATGCTTCTGTGTTAACTGGGCCTATTGAGTATGAATGGATCTGAAGACACAGATTTACTGCAAATTCGTGTTTCTTTACATCACTCCTGGGACTGTGACAGTGACTTTTAATAGATTTCATTGCAGAGTAAAAAACTTGTTAACAGCAATGACTAAATAACACAAAGTTCATACTTACTACTGTAACAGCCAGAATTCCAAAAACTTTACCTGCAGCTAATTAACAGCACTGGGTGGAAAGACAGGGATACCAGCAGTGACCCATTTAGTGCTGTGTAAGGACCACAGTCCATCCAGGCTAAGCTGCTTAAACATGCTAATGCCTTGGGTTCTGCAGAATGCTTCTCTGCTTGAACTGACAAGTATTTACAATTCAGCTCTTTCACCTTTCATTTTCTCTTCCTCTCCCTATGTTCTGACACATCCTCTAGACTTTCCCTTTAAAGATGTGTACATCACCTAATAATTTTTTTGTGTATTAGGAACAACTACAAAAGAAATATGTTAATGTAACTTGACTGGTGACACCTGACACAAACAAAGATTTTAATTTCTACTTACAATGGAAAATCTTGAGTGAAATAAAATTTAGTCTACAAGGACATTATTGCAGCAAGGTTCCCAAGTCAGCCACAGCAGCAGACTTGTGGGGAAAACCAAAACCACCGACCAGTTCACAGCAGTGACAATGAACACAGCTACAGAAATCTGGGTGAATATAAAGCTGGATTGGGGTTGATAAAACAGTGAGCCATTAGCAAACTACCTAACTCAGCTTTTCCCCCACCTAAACTGTACTTTTACTTTCCTCCTTTGCTTGGTTGATTACCTGGTACACATTTGCAAGAAGGCACATACCAACACTGTTCACTCAGCAAAATTAAATTCAAGTAATTAGTACTTGGCATCACTAGTTTCACCTCTGACTAGGCCCAGCCACAATACATCACCAATTAGTTCAGTTTCTTCATGAAAAAAAAAAAGCTTTCTATTCAGTTTTACTTTCCTTTCCTATGTATCATCATTTGCAGTTGCCCACAGGACTTCATAATAAAACAAATAATATCATCCCTGCACTGTAACAGCCCTGCAGTTTGCTGTTGCCAACATTAACCAAAAGTGCTCTATTTTAACAATGTTTTTCCCTGCAAAAACACACATCTGAGCTCATTTCTTGTGGCAAGAATCTATTTTAAGTTGCTGAAGTAGCAGGCACAGTAGAATTTGTCATGATTGCCGTACACTCACTCACCTCATTTAAAAATATATTAAAAAACCAAAACACACACTTCCCCCCCCAAAAAAAGCAACTACTAACAAAAACAACACCAATAACAAAAAAAAAAAGAAAACCAGGAAGGGCTGGCCTTTTTAAAAAAACTGTTTCCACAGCATATTCAGGGTAGTGGAAAGTCACCAGCTACAACCATGCTGCAATGCATTAGCTTTGTGCTTATTAAATTAAGTGGCTTTGGTATACAATTAATACCTTGGTATTGCCATTGCAGGGAAGACTGCTTAAGGGCAAACAAGGCAAGCTAGGTAGATCCACTAAGCTTAGGCAATCAGCCACAAGGAAGCTTGTCAACCACAGAAACCTCATTTTATTGTAAAAAACTTCCTCATCTGAGTGCAACAGTTTCAGTTTCCTGTAGCAGCTCCTGTCTAAACCCACTGACAGGGGTGTTCACTGGATCGTTCAACTCTTGGGAAGTAGAAATACAAAGCCTGTTTGTGCATTTATTTCATCCTAAAGGATTTCTAATCATATGCAGAACCTGAACTCTAAGCAGCGCAACTCTGACCTAAAAACTCAGATTTCTTTCATCTTTAAGACTTTTGTTCCATCATCCAGAATCTCCACTCTGACCATTTCATAGACAGTAAAAGGGTCTCTTCTCTCTCCTTTGTTAAGACCAAAAGGTATTGAACTCCAGGTATGAAGCAGTACCTCAACTTTATCAGCACTGGGAGCTTGAAGGTTTAGACCTGTAGGTTCTGCACACTTGGAAGATGTTTATAAAGGCAGGGAAAATCTGACAGACACAGACAGGCACTTCTGCTCAGTTACACTGCATCTTTCTGCTCTCTTTTCAGTGACCTGAGAGGCTCTGTTAAGATCTAGGAAGAGAGGCAAGAGGGAATGCAAGAACTGTTTCTTTCTGCCTCTCCCCCCCTGGATCCATGCTCTGCTTCCCAGAACAGAGGCCAGAGGGATCCAGCCTGCACCAAGAGACTCTGATGTGGAGCTGTGGCTGTCACCCCTCCCTGGCAGGACACAGGACCATTGGTTTGGAAACCAGTCCAGCAGGTACACCAGAGACTGGAAAGCCTGAGAAGATCCAGTAACAGAAGATTTACTTACAAGTTCCTAAACAATTTGCAGTTTAGTCTGATCCAGCTTCCAACACTGCACATTTTTGGAGCTTGAAATAGCATTTTATACTCAGTTACTCCAAGTTAGCCAGAAGCAAGAACTATACCAGCATTAAACAAGGAGCTCTTGGGGAAAACCCTTTACAGTTTCATGAAAAGGAAGAATGTACAGTCACTGCAGATGTCAGGGCAAGAAACCTCCTCAACAGAAGCAACAATCTGACAAGCTCTACTCAATTTCAGGAATGAGAACTATTCAGTTTACACTCATGTTCACCAGCAATAAGGAAATTAAGTTCTTCATATACTGACCCTTGGTTCTGTGTCACCCTTTGCTGATTTATTACCCAGAGCTCCAGACACAAATCCAGGTACTAATTAAAAGAAGCAGTGTCTCAGTGGGAGTAAATTCTGGTTTTAATTATTAGCCTCCTTTGAAGTGCTATTTCCAAACAACAATATTCAGATTCTCATTTCATGACCTGGTTATGCCCAATGTCCAGCTTAAACAGATACAAGCTTAAGAGATCTTCTCATTAACAGAGTAGCCTAATTTTTTTTGAGGAATGTATGACATTTGTAACTAGCCCTTTATTTACACCAGTATTTTACATTTCACTTTTAAATGGGAATCTTTCACAGCTGGACTCAATCTTAAGGGTCTTTGCCAAACGAAATGATTCTGTGATTCTCTGCTGAAGTCTCAGAAACTCCCCAAACAACTGACCTCCTTATCACATTTCATTGCTATTTATACCAGGCAGATTCCCACACACGTACACAGCTACCCTAATTCCTCAGTAATGCCCTTCCCTCACATACCTGCAGCAGGATCTGAACTGAAGATTATAAAGAAGTCAATCACTCGGGAGGTGAAGTCAAAGGCTGTTTGCTGGCTGCCGTGGATAACAGAGATACTGTGCCTGTCCCCATAGCTAGCCCGGGGCATTCCTCCTTGGAATATTATGTAAGGAAGCCTTGAGAGAAAGAAAGAAAGAGTTAAAGTGGTCTGTGCTGAAGGGAGGAGCAAGAAAAATTTTAAAGAAGTGTCAAAGAGTTGGACAACAAATTCTTATAATGTTACTCTAAAGGGTTCAAATGGCATTGCACACTGCACCCTTTATATAAGAGAATGGAAGGGATGCACCACAAACTCACCCATTTTTTGTTGTCTGCCAGTAGATCTTGGAGATGGCCTTGCAAGGAAAAGGACCTGAGAAAACAGAGTTATTTGCTGCAATTCAAAAAGTGCATCTTTACATCAGAAATTGCTGATTCTGCTTCAGCCAGGTCAGCTCACCCTCCACCCCAAGGGGAGCCACCTAAATTAGCAGGAGCCAGCAGCACCTCCCCAGACCAGGCCACATCACACAATCCTTCTGGGACACACTGACCACAGAACCCTGCAGCAAAACACAGCTCAGGCTCAGGGGAAGTGTGAACCATGCTGCTGATGGCTAGCCACCCCCTCACTGCCAGGGAGACTGGAAGTGCTGCTGGAGGAGCTGATTAACTAGAAAGGATTGCTAAAATCACAGCCATTCCTGACACTAATATAAAGTGATAGAGCTTTAGAAGCTTTTTCACTTGAAAGGTGACATCATCCCCATTTGATGGCTTCCAGCAAATCAGAAGCTTCATTTAATCACTGCTCAGGTTGACAAAAAATACACTCAGCTCACTATTAATTACACAGGATCCAAGCAACTCCTGCTGAACAGGACACCAGCTAAAACAAAAAGCTGAATCACCAACACCCTTCTTCGTAAGGGGCACTAATTTTGTCAAGACTTGCTCTCCGTGTTCAGGACAGACTTCAACAATGCACAGGAGTTTCAAATCCAAGAGAAGAACTGGTCTGAAATCCCTTATTAAAGGCTCACAAGCTGTTCAAGAGGCACCTCTGCATTTTGCCATTAAGTACTAGGGAGAATTGTGACTTGAATATCCTACACCAGCTCAGAATTAGTTTGAGTTTGGACAATTACACAACAGTTAAACCTCACTTACTGACCATAAGGCACAGTGTTTTCCAGAGGCTCTGACTGCCTGTTGTCACTGGATACTGGCCACTGGGTGTAACTTCCATCGTAGTGACAACTAATGAATTTACTGCCATCCCTCTGCCAGTAGAGGTTCTCCAGTTGCTGAAAAAAAACCATACAAATGACTGCTCTCCAGAGAGCTGTTATCTCCCCAAAACAACCTGTTCTTACTAAAAGAGCAGCTTTGTCAGGCTCTCCCTGCACCTGATTTTTCTTCAGAGTGTCAATGAGAGCCCTTCCTGCCCTGCTGAACTGACTCTGGACAGAATCAATACCTGGCTGCCCAGGAAATGCTGTGTTGCTTTGTTATTCTGCAGGTCCCAGAGGACAATCAAGCCCCTGCTGTATCCAATTAGGATCTGGTCAGGGTTCTTAGGATGCTCCTGAAGGGCTTCCACCAGCTCACAGGATCGCCTGTTGCAATTATCTTCTGGTATCCTGCAGGAGGAGAAGAGAAAACCAAGAGAAGCTAATTCCAGGTACAGTCTGAAAGGACTGTAATAAAAGGTGTCAGAACGAGAAATTAAGTGGCAAAATTGAATCAGGTAGTTACAATCTTCCCACAAATCCTTCAAGCAGCAGAAATATCTTATGGGAGACATCACATCAGGCCTATCACATGGACATGGACCCACTCCTGTTTTCTTCAAGGAAAGACCAAGGTTTACAATGAATTCCAGGACTGTAAAGACAGTTTGAACCACTCACTCTATTGTCTTACAGAATAAAGGTAAGATGGAAATGTCAGTAGGAGATGTGAAGTAGGACAGCTTTCAGCAGCACTCAGCAGAGTGATGAAAACCCCATTTGAACCGAGCAGCATCAGATGTTCAGCCAGTGGCTGAAAAAATAGATGTGTAATTACAGTTAAACAAAATATTTTTCTTTCAAAAAAAGGGCACAAGGTTTGCAGATTCACCCCAAGTGAACATGCTGTACCTCCACAGTACAGGCTGGACCAGGACAGAAAATGTTACTTAACACACACCAGCACCAAAAGTTACTTTCATGAGAGTCAGGCAGATATGGACAATGCTTAACACAACAGTGAGGCCCCAGAACATAATGTGGGGTGACATTTTAACAAAGGATGTGTCTGCTAATGGGATTCCACCTCTTGTCTGCTCACTCACCGCTGCAGCACGGCCTCAGGGGTGATGGTCCTGTCCTCCAGCACTCTCAGCGAGGGCAGCTCCACCACAAAGATGTTGCCACTCTCTGTGCCAAGGTACAGCACCTCCCGTGAGGAATGTGGAAGCACAGCTGTCACCTGGGTGGCACTTGGTGGAGAGCTGGGGATGCAAAGAGACTCTTGTTACTGAATTTGGGAGAGTTAACAACAGAACAGGGGCATTTATCAGTTCATTTGTTTTGGAGGCATGATTTTTTTTTTTATAGAAGGAAAACATCGACTTTAAGATAAATTATGTCAGTAATTTGACAAGTGCATGGACAAAGAACCAGACACCTTGTTTACAGAACCCTCTCTAAGTGTTCCTAAAAATAGCTCACCTAAAACTGGCAAGATCAAGTGAAACTAAAAGGACAACAGCATTTCAAAGTCTGACTTAAGGCATAGTTAAATTTACCTAACCTTAAGACTAATAATTCCTGTACTCACAACAGTGAATGCACAATATTTTAAAATATGTCACCCTCTGCACTGGTTGAGCACTTTTAAAAGCTGGTCTCCCATGCCCTAGCCAGCTCCTGGGTGGTTTCCATGGATGCTCTTTCAATGGATTCAGAGGAGTGGCAGGCTGTAAGAACTGGACAGGCTCTAACTTAAACAAGAGCAGAATTTTCTGGCTTGCTTGTCCCCAGAGCAGCTGCTGTGGCTCACCCAGGTGGCCCTTTGAGGGTGAAGCGATGCTCCTCCCGCAGCTCAGATGCTCCTCCGTGCTGCCTCAGGCTCCAGAGGTGCAAGCTGTTATCATCCAGCAGTGTCACCAGCTGGCACTGCAAAAATCACACAACTTGCTTTTTTCAGAATGCCAGCATTAAATATAACACAGTAAATTTAGCAGTAGAGTTGCTGCTGTTCATAATTCCCTGCTAAAACAGGACTGGGGAGCTGGTTCAGTTTTTTATGGCAGTGGACAAACACTGCAGCAATGGGATTTGGGGGATGGAGGGAGACAAGAATGAGCCTAGAGGCTCAAAACCCTGTTATAAAGGCACAGGCTATCAGTGAGGGGGATGACAAGGATTTAGGCTCCTGAAGATCAGGCTGTGCTGTAAAGCCCAGCCATGCAGCTGCAGGCTGGATCTCACCTCCTCCAGGCTCAGCACAGGTTTGCTGAACACACCCCAGCTTTGGGTGGGGCTGATACACTCTGCTACACCACACTCCTCACATTCTTCGTGTCCAACCTCATTCTGGAGGGTTGTGTCAGAATCCTTTTATGAGCCCAGCCCTGCTGGCTGGATGTTCAAATTGAAGCATTTTACCTGCTGCAGCCACACCTGGTGCAACACTCCCCATGGGAGTTTCAGTTTATACCATTAGTTAAGCAAACAGACACCCAAAACCGCCTCAAGAACTAAATCCCTCTCATAAAGAGGCCACTTGTGCTGCACTGGGGGCATCAGGCAACAAAGTCACCAGTCTGACAGTCAAGGGAAAGGAAAAGTGGTTAGACAGCCACCAGACATTTGGAAAATTCTTGCTTTCCTATTTTTAGAGTGTGGCAATAACTGCTCAGCAATCCCCAGGAGCAAGATTCAATACCCCCAAACACAAAGGCAACAAACTTAACAGCAGATGAGGTTAGGAGTGCTGTTCTGAGCTCCTGAAAATAATTAAATCAGCTCAGCAGCAGCTCCTGTTCTATCTGCTGTGCAGAGCAAAGACCACCCAGTACTACTGAAAAAATAGGGGCTGCAAAAGGAAAAGGAAGTTCTTGCTTCTGCAGCAGATTGCCTGAACTGTCCTGGCCTTATTACCATTCCCAGGATGTTGCTGGAGACAAATGACTAACAGTTATGAAGAATAAAGCTACTCTTTAGTTTAAAGCTTCTCTTTTAGTTTTACTGAGCATCTCCACAGCAACAAGAGCCGCTGAGAGCACAAAATACACTGGGATAAACATTCCCAACCAACCTTTGAATATACTCGGTAATAGGAGCCCAGATCCCTGGAATAAAACCAACACCTGTTTAGGAGAGATCTGCTTCTATCACAGAGGCACTGAAAATGCACTTACCTGATCAGGTATAAAGTGAATTTGCATTACAGTGTTGTTTTCTTCATGTAAACCCATGAACTCCACCCCAGGAGCACCATATCTGATGAGTTTGTTGAGGATCTACAGTATTTAAGGTGGCCCACAGCTACAATTAATTGATAAGAAGCTTGCTAGCAAGCAAGACAAAAAGAGATTAGTCTGAAACCACATTTTACTGTTGGTGAGCTGGACTGCAAGAATCAATGCAAATCTACTTTTGATTTTACATACTTGCAAAATTTGCAGACTGTGGAGAACAGGGAAGTTCACTTCTTCCTTCAGAATATGCAGAAGAGGTGCCTGGACCCTGTTTTTTCTCAAGGATGTTCAGTGGTTTCCCAGACACTACAATCCTGCTTAACTAATTTGTAACCAGGAGACAGATGGCCACTGCCTGCATGTGGAGCCCAGCCCCTGAGCACAAACAACACCAGCAGTGAATGATTAAGCTGGCAGAGACAGCACCAACTTTTCCTTTCTGGGCTGGGTGACATGCCTGTTTTACAGCTCATCTAACTGGTCTCTGCCATGAGAATCATTTCACACACACATAAAAATCAGACTGGACGTCATTAGCTAAAAAAAAAAAATAAATTACCACCTTCAATGTTTAGGTCTTTAATTCCTGGATGGTCAAAAACTCAGGAAGTAGAAAGCATTTCTGACTTCAGCTTTAACCTTTGAAATAGAATTGCTTTAGGAAAAAAAAAAAGAATAAAAAGGAACCCTGCCCCAAATATTTAAACAACCTTGGAATTTACAATGTGAAGGATTGCTAAACTTAGGCCAGATCTAGCCTGACCTTCTGCATAGCAAGAGCAGAGTCTTGTTTAATATCTGCATCAGCTCAGCTTCTGTTGGAGCTGTAGCTCAGCTCTTTGGGAAGATAATCCCACCCTGATCAGACCAAAATCACTCCAAACCCTGGCAAACTGTTTCAGTGTTCAGTAACCTTGCTTGCAAATTCACACTTAACTTTTGAAGTGTCTTCAAAGCTGTACTGAGTGCTGAGGTTGGAGAATTCTCACCCAAGGTGTTTCAAGGATACAATTTGATGGCTCCTGATCGTGTCCCAATGGCCATGAGCCGGAGAAATGGGCTGTAGCCCAGGGCACTGGGCTGGTGGGGAAATCCATGTTCCACAGTCTGGGGGAGAGAAGGAAAAATCATGATCAGCAGCTTGTTCCATGGGCATTGCTGGGCAGAAAGTCAACACAGCATGGCACTCTGAAATACAGCACTTAATGGCACATAAGTGTTCAAATCTTTTTGATTTGCTGAACAACAGCCTAATGATGAATGTGTGCCAAGAATCCCTGGCTCCACAGCCAGGATATCCAGAAGTGTAACAGAAATGAAAGAGAAACATTCTGAAAACAGTAGTCTGAGCAGTTCTTGATGTTAAGATTATAAATAAACTCTGCATAAGCACAGCTTAGCCAGTCAATACAACACATTCCATCACTCCACATCAGCTGCACTTCTGTAAACCAACTGCTCAGCACAATTGCAGAGTCTGACACAAATACCGAGAGCTGTAAGATCAGCTTTATCTGACAAATTCCACACAGGTCAGCCTTCCTGACCTCTTTGTGGTGACTGACATGAAGAAATGTGCAAAGCAATGCAGAGCTACGAGTGAACATCAGTGCTCATCAAGGAAACGAAACAGATTTCCTGTGAGCACTCAGGAAAACTAATGTAATCCATATCCATTTTCCAGAGGGAACACTGGAATTTAATGAGAGCAGGAACCTGCTAGGCCACCTCAGAGTAATTCAAAGCCATTTGGGACTAAAAAGATGTCACAGAGAGCAGTGTTGCTTGGCCTTGGTGTCTTCCCTAAAGTACATTTAAATCACCTTAAATTATATTTCCCTAAAGTACAATTTAGAGCTGCTGCAGGAGGGAGATTTGGAGTGTTTGCACACACCACACTGAGCACTGATGCATTTACACACCAGGGAATAATATCCTGCCATGCTTACAGGATGCCACCAAACTGACTGGAAAATAGCTGAGTGAGGCTTTCACAAGTGCTAATGCACAATTCCTATCCTGGTTTGGGCAAAACCAAAAACCAGAGTGCACCAGCACACAGCCAGGTAAAGAGGGCTGGTGTGCCCACAGATTAATAGGGAAGATTAAGAGGGATGCTTCCTGGAGACAGCTGATCCTTGCAGGCCAAATTTCTGGAAAATACCTTTTTCTAAGACAAGCTGGCCAGCTGCAGAATAGGAATTCACTACACTCACTATTGAAAAGGAAAAAAAAAAAAAAAAAAGGAGAGAACTCTCCATCTACGGCACTTGCACGTCACTCCCATCATTTCCATCATGTCTGGAGCAAAGCTACCACATCACTTAAGTTTTATGCCTTATTCAGCCTAAAAGTAACACCTGGACTTTATTTCCTGCATAGTGATTTCCCAACTTAATCCCCTGCACGAGAATGAAATGGAGCCAGTTTCATTTCCATGGTCAGGCCATAGCCCGAGGTGCCCCAGCTGCTGCAAAGCACTTTAATGTCCTGCTCAAAGACAGCACAGGAGGATCCAGCTGACTCCAGAGTCTGCCAGTTCGCTTTGGTTTTACTCATTTGATCACAATTCCTAAGCTGCAAGAAAAGACATCCCTCCTCTAAATACTGGGTAGCCCAGCCTGAGGTTCTCCTAAGGGAAGCTGAGCCTCTGTAGAAGATAAAACAGAAAATATTGGAGCATTTCCCAATTTTCTGCTTGCCAACTCATTACGTTTGCTCATTAGGGCAAAAGAGTAGATAGTAATTTTTTTTAACCTTTTATAGCTAGTAAGCCAAGATTAGTACTACAAGTTCCAAGACCGCTGAGTTTACTTTCTTTTTTGATAACTTAAATCTCCAGCCTTAGCTATTTACTCGAAGAAGGTAATTTAAGTGTTAAGTTTGCATTATTAAAAACAAAGTTTGAGAAGTCAATCTTTTTACTGTCACCCTTCAAGCTGCTGCTAACCAACCTTTGCATAGCTACACATATAAAACTTCCTGGAGAAGGCTGTATGAAATTAAGAATTTTATCAATGGACTCAGAATTGAAACAGAGCAGTTTCCTAATGCAGAACAGGCAAAGAAGAATTTCTCTCCACTGTGACTGAGGCAACACAGTAAAGCTTCCTAATTGTCAAAGTTGTGGGAGTATAAAGCTATGGTGCAAAATTCTGGGAAGAAGATCCAAGGTAACATTATCTTAACAACGAATCAGACATTTAAATGAATCAGGTGTAGCACAGGCAATAAACACCATTCCACTCTCACCCAAAACAAAGTGAGGAATTTCTTAGGGAGACACCAATGTAACTCCCCTGATAGTTTTAGTTTCAACTTGTTCACAGTCACTGCACTGTCAGGTTATCAGCACAACCAGGTGCAATTTTCAGTGACACATCAATTAGAAACTGTGATTATTCTAAGATTTCATCCAGCCCAGAAGATAAAGCTTTAGCCACAACTCTCAGAAAACCATGACTTATACAATACTGCAGTGCTTGTTAGGAAGCTGTCAACACCAGCCTTAATACTGGCCTAATTATATCTTGGGTTTGATGTGTTAATTTGTAAACACATTAGACAAGTCAATAAAAGCTTTAATTTTCAAGTATGAGACCTATGAACTTCACAACCAGCTGTGTATGATTCAGTAAAAATAATAGGAGGGTGATTTTTTTTTTCCTCCAGGTTTTCATTCAACCAAAAATTTGAAGTACCCCCCCCATTTCACAGACAAATTTGCAAAAGAAAACTATCAGTAACAATCACAGTGTGCTACCCAGCTGCTCATGGAGAGCAGTAAAGGTTTCTGGTAGCTCTGAATCTTCAAGATGCCCATAAGATGCAACAAAGATAACTCTCTTATGTCATTTGTTTCCACAGCTGGACAATAAAAGCTTCAGGGTGACTTTCTGGCTGCATTTGACACCACCAGGGCCAGGCATTCACATTCACTGTCCTGATTACCCAGATCTTTTCCCTGCACTCATTTGCACCCAGTTGTTAAATCACATCAAGCCAGCTTTGGGCTCCCTCCTTTGCTGCCCTCGGCAGCTTTCATCAGCCAATCCTTTCACCTGCCCAGCAGGTAAGCTCAGCAAGGGGGAGAGAGGGGGGCAGGAGGCAGCAGAGGTTACAATGGAGCCTTTCAGCAGAGCTGAAACAAGAAACTGCAGTGCCCACAATGTGCCCTCCTTCTCAGAAGAGCCTTTGTTTCTATGGGGAAAGGTAAGAGATTTTTTTTTTTTTTCAATCTCCACAGGTTTGTCAGACTCAAGCAAGCCTGGTGTCAGCAGCAGTGACAGAAATGCTTCATGTCAGTCATATTTACTGCAGGAAAAACGTGGCCAAACTGAACAGTTGTTCCCAGCCCACGCTAAAGCTGTGCTGATTAAATTCATCTCTGTCTTCCTCCTTCCACTTGTCTCTGCTTTCCTCCCAGACTGTTTTATGACAGAGCAGAGACAAACCCAACCATAGCAATACAAGCCCTGTCCCTTTGTTAATTCATCTTTTGAAGAAACAATGAAACCTGGATGTGCTAACTCCACTTCGAGTAGACACTAATTCAGATTTCAGGAAAGCTCTCCATCACACCCATCAGCAAAGGGGCAGGAAGCCTGAAAACAGGGGGAAAAAACATGAAGCCATAAATTAAATGCAATGCTCCCAGTTGGGTAACATTCAGCTGTAAGACAGGCTGGTTCACCTGTGTGTTACCCATCATCTAGTCTGACAATGCCAGCCTGAACATGTTTCTTCTACAGGGCTTGGACTGAGCCAAAGGCATCCAAATACTACTTCCAAAAGCAGAATAAACTCAAAGAAGTAGACTGCCAAGTCCACATACCTTATCCTTCATTCTATCCACTGAGCTAAAAACAGATTCTTGCAACAGGTACACACAAGTATGGGAAGTTCTTACTCATACAGAGAAACAGATATGCAAAGCTGAGTGACTAGCAGAATTTATTTGAAACAAACACAACTTTGAAGACAGTTTGAAGCACTAGTCCAGTCATCAGCGAGTCCTTTAAAACCACCTGGACCACCTCTAATGCAAAACAGAAATGCAAGAGAGAAGCATTAAGAAGATCACAGCCTATTTATACCTGACAGAATAAAACAAACAAACAAAAATCCACCACTACCAATTAAATAGACGTTCTAAATTGAAGTCCATTCTAGGCCAGCGTGGTCAAATACATTCCACTACACTAATTCTAATTCTGTGTGGCATCATGCATTTATATCCAACTTCAGTGTAAAATGAGGGCAGGAATCCCCAGCACCTTTAAGGTACAGACCTTGCCTTTAGTCATGACCCGCATCACACACTGAAGAGGTGCAAATCCACCATGCAATTTCTCTGATCAGCAACTTTACAGGCCCACAAAGTATTTCCCAAGCAGGTTCTTAACCAGAAGTCTTTCAAAGACCTCAAATAACAAGTGTTAAAAAAGAAAAAAACCTGCTTACCAGCACTAATGTGCTTGCTCTAATAGCACATTAGACCAGGACAGCCTTGGCACACAAAGCATTATGATTCTTGGCTCCTTGAAGCCACAACATTCAACAGCTCAGAATTAAGGTCTGACTTTCCCAGATTTTCTCAGTCTACCTAGCTGCGAGTAGATGTTTATTGGATCAAAGGGTAGAAGCTTTCAAATGACCCATTATCTCTGGAAATACTGGAATGGGAGACACAAGACTTGAGAGAAAAAAACTCTCACTTTTCTGGAAGAAAAGAGTGAAGTGCAAAAGATTCTGGTATAATGCTCATTCCCTTCTGATTTTTATTAGAAAAGAACAGGTTACTGTGGCTTAAAGGTGCAAATGCATTTTACAAGGCCTTTAATTACCAAGCTGTTAATGAGAGTAAACCATTAGGAAGTGTCCAGAGTAGTTGTCTCCCTAGAAACAAGACGTCATGTTTACCTTCAGGACTGAATCAAATGGAGTCACAAGTCCTGATGTCAGCTTCTAATATATTTGGAAGTTTCCCTCTGCTGTCAAAGCTAGTTCTTTCAACCCTGTTTTGCATTATCCAAATTAGTGTGTCTCTGGCAAGTAAAGCTCAGCCAAACATAAGAGAAAGGCATATTCAAGGAAGAGCCATCCCTAAAATAGCAAAGGTTTTCCAAGGTATATATAATTTTAAATGCTTATAAGCAACTCTGACCCATCCCTGGGCCGTCTTTTCTGAAGCTGACATTGGATTTAGCCAGATGCAAACAACTCAAACCTGGTCTGTATTCACTGATTTTTCTACTGCATCTGCACTAGGATTTCCTGGTGCTAGCAGGCAGAAAACAGACCCAAAGCACTCTTGAGTTCCTTTGTCTCCCCAATGGCAGAAAGGTATGCATGGAATTGATGTTGCTTAGTACCAATTACATTAAATCATTTATCTCAAATATCCACAGTTCCACTTCAAGTATCCATCTACACTACAATTCTAATGAATCAAGGAGGTTATTTCCTATGCTGATTTCATTTATCCATTACACTTTTCAGCAAAATTCCACTTAAACATTGGAAACACAAAACCTACAAATATATTTCTGCTCCCCAAAGAAAGAGTAGGTAGCCATTAGCCTAGCCATGATTTAATACCAGGCATTTTCAAAGATAAAAGCACTATGCTCTGGCCAGAGCTCAAAAGGAAAATGCCCAGAGTGTTGGATAGATAGCACAGCCATTGCCATTTCTTCTTCACAGAGGGAAGGAAAAAACCTAGAAACAGATTCAGACTAAGATAATAGTAAATTCATTATTAATGGCCATTGTGCTGCCTAGGTGCTAGCACAGCCTTTTAAATGCACATTTAAAAGCAGGGGTACACTTGTAAATCCAAAGCATATTTAGGGACAAAGAACTCTGGCTTCAGCTGCATCACAGGCTGTGGCTTATGTGTATCTTTAGAAAAATGTTTATTTTCCTAACAAGGACTACCTGCAACAGGAACAGTCCCAGCACATAGCAGGACAAGTGACAGACCACTCAGAGGATAGCAAAGCTGAATATCTCTTCTTTCAGCAAGAGCACTCAACAGCATCACAATATCCTTCCTCTTAAAAAAGGACAGACAGAACTGAGAACATGCCCAGGAGCTTAAAGGAAACTACTCAGGCATATCAGGGGAGAAAAGGACAGAACTGTAAAAGAGAACAAACCAGCACTTCTCCTAAATTTAACTTTTCCACCCACACTGACGTAGTTTCTCCCTCCTTTTGCAGGATGCAGTGGCTCAGGATAGATTTTTGAGGTCTGAGGAAAGCCCCGTACCTTGTTAAACTGGAAAAGGTCCCGTTTGAGCCTCTCTCTCACTGGATCGTGGCCGGGTCTTAAGAACCTTCTCATCTTCCTTGCTGTAGTATCTTGGCAACAAAAATCCTAACAAAACAAAAAAAGAAAAGCCTATATAAACAAAAGCAGCCTGAGTAGAAAGCAGACAGAAGTAGGTTATTTATTTTAGTTTAGCAGGTAACAAATCAGCCAGAGCAGACTGAGACAACATCACTATCGAGTGACTAAAACCTGATACCAGTCTAGCACAGCTCTCTGGTGCAGCACTTCACAATTCCATTTTCACATTGATAAAGCAAACTAGTGCAGATAAAACAACATGATTATAAAAAGGGTTTTACACTTGGCCATTTTGCAATCCCTGGAGTTGACCTTATCCAAAGAAAAGGCAAAACTGAAGTATTTGCATAAACATTCAGACAAACCCAACCTAAAGGCCAACTCCCAGGCTCAGGCATTATTGACTAGCATCAGTTTTCACCCCAGGTAACCCTCCAGCTATTGAGCCAAAGAGAGAAAGAATCCTATTTTCAGGTCTCTCCATGGGCATGGCAGAAAGGGCGCTGTGCTGCCTGCAGGGGAGCTGCATTAATTATTAACTTGCTTTTGTAAAATATCAACTCCCTGCTCGAGGTGGGGGCAGGGGAAGGGAATTTCGCACCTGCAATTCACCGAGCAGCTGAACACAAAGCAGCGAGTCCCAGCCTCTCACAGCAACAGGAGGATCCAAGCAGGACAAATCAGACCTGAATTAAACCAGCAATCACACGGGGAATCCCAGGCTCCAGCTGCCTACTCACATCTCCCCTGTGCACAGGTACGAAGTGACAATAAAACCCTGCCAGCTCCAGAGCAAAGGCTTGAATTCACATCCTGACAACTTACCCTGGTGTCAGTGCTCCTGCCTGCCACCTCTCACAGGCTGCAGTTTACGGACACTTTGCTCAGTATTTTAATTTGCTGGAGCAATCTGCCAGCTACTCTGTACACGGCACACGTGTGCAGTGGGGTCAGAACTCCTGAGGTGCAGTGAAGGATCAGAATGGATATTATACATGGTCAGGAGAGGCTCACATGCACCCACAGCGAGGTGGGGAGCAGGGGGATGATGAGAAAGAGAGGGACCAGGAGCACCAAAGGAACAAGTGAACAGAGAGCCTTGAACCCTTCAAAAGGGTGGAGGTGAGTGAGGGGAGGAGCTTTCACACCTGTACAGATGGGAACAGCACAGCTGGAAACAGGGTGGCTGCTTCTGTGCTCCTGCCAGCAACAATGGCCTTTGGATAACGACCCAAAGCAGCCACTCCTGAGGAGTTGTTTTTCAAAGAGTTCCTAGCAAGGCCTTGCACCAGCTGTGAAGGTCCAAAAGAAGGAAATGGTGTGATAAACAGGATGCTCCACAGGCATATTTTGAGAACTCCCTTTAGAAACTCCCTGGGTTTGTACCTCTTTGTTGCACTGCTGCCCTTTTACCTTTCCTGCTCACACTCCAACATCTGCAGCCACCTGTGCAGCACTGCCATGAGCTCACACGATCAGAGGATCATTCACCTGAGTCACTTACTCCCTAGAATTACTAGGATCACCTACGTGACATTCCAGTCACCTAGAATCACTGGCAGCACCAATCAACACAGAAAAGCTGGCTCTGAGCAGGGCAGCTACAGGTGTTTGTGGGCCACCAGTACAGGCAGGGATGAAGAATGTGCACAGAAACAAATATATGAGGACCTCAGAAAAGAGAGGAAGAATAAAAGTGTCGTTTACTTGGAAAGTAAATACTTCTACAATGATTTAGCACCTCAACTGAAATTTCATAAATAGTGTCAGACCATAAGTCCTCTTTTATTAGACATCCCTGAGAGAAGTAGATATTTTCAAAAAGCTACACTCACTTTAAGTTAGCAAAAGTTACAGAGCAGTGACAAGGTGCTGTGCAATGAAAGGAGAGCGTCTCACACCCATGTATAACACACAACTTGCCCTTAGCCAGACAAGGAAAGGAAAGTGCCAAGGAGACGCACCCTTTCCCACTGTCAATCAATATCCTGGACCTGCTAAACGAGGCAAACCCACAGAGAAACTCTACTAATTACCCTCCCCACTTCAGAACAAAAGACCTCAGCTGTGGCAGCAGAGGCAAACTCAGCGTTAGGAGCAAAGAAGAGGGGGCTTGGTTTGAGAGAGACGCAACTTTACATTTAAAACCTTGCTAGAATGTTTTATCCTGAAATATTAATGGCATCCTGAAGCACGCTGTTTGAGCCTGCTTATGCAAGAGCTCCAGCATTCACACTCCAGCCCACAACAACTTGTCCAACAGGCTAAGAAGTGTAGTAGTTGTGAACTGAGCAGTAACTCACTTGAAGAGCCATCACCCTGAAGGGCTGAGAGCATCAGAGAAGGCAAGCGACAAAAGTTACACATTTCAATTATCACAGACTGATATCAGTTTCCTTCTGACCAAAGAACCTTTGAGTGTCACAGTATGGGAGAGGACGAGAGGACAAGCAGTTTTGAACACAGGCAAAGAAGGAACAGCATCCACTGCAGCACAAGTTGTCCAAGCAGAGTTATTATCACAAGTTTACAAGGCTCTTATCAAAGAAAAGAATTTTGGTTTTAGTACAATAAGCAAGTATCTCTTCCAATTCTAGAAATAGATTCCACAATCTGTATAATCTTATCTTCCAGATGCACATTTACATTTTAGCAGGCCAGTTTCTCTCCCACACACCTTTGGAGTCTTACATAAAACTCCAGCCCCATGTGCTCTGCAGTTGTCTGCCAGTCAGCATTTACAACCATCTGGTAACAGTTGTGGCTACCAGTAGCCAGAGAGGAATTCTCCAGTAGCCTCTGAAGCTATGCCAGGTCTGCATGTATCTAATGTTCTTATTTTGCAGGGAAACAATTCTTAGGCTTACAAAGACAAGTCTTTTACCAGAAACTATGTGCAACATTCTCTTGTTTTCAGATGCATTGAGTGCAGCTGTTTAGAGGCAACAATAGCCCAAGGCTGAGCCAGCCCAAGTTTTGCTGGTACTCAAGACTTGGACACCTGATAGCAGAGCTCAGAGCGCCCTGAATTATCAAACTCCTGCTGCTTCCTTACCTGAATGCTCAGCTAAATACAGTCATGTCCCCTTTTTTACCCCATTGGGTTAGGTCCAGACACAAAACAAAATCTCCTCACAATTCATATGGAAAGGCAATGAAAGCACAAGAAAATCCTGTTTCCAATCAGACTAAGGAGCAGTTTAACATCACAACCAGATTTCATTTTGTCTTCCTTGCTCAGCTCCATTCATTTCAGATGCAGTGAGAGGTGGCATGTGAACCCATATCCAATAAAAGGACAAATGCTCCTTCCAAAGAGCAGCATTAATTAATTGTTCCTCACTGCTGAGTGCCACCAACCCAGAGCTCCACATTTTCCTGTGGCTTCCTTGTTTCTGCACACAGCAATGGATCTTGATGCCTGTGCACAGCTTGCTGAGACACTCTCCATCATTTTCTCCATCAGCTTGGCAAAGGCTGGCAGGGAACTACCCTGTGCAGAAATTTGTTGCAATTTTTCCTTATGTCCTCCCATGAGAGTGGAATTTCCAGCCAAAATGTTGTAAGTCCCAATCACACAAGTTAATCCAGTCTTGCAAGAAGAGGAAGCCCAGGTCAGAAGTTTTCACTACGTAGACAGTATTAAGTGTGGATGTAGTCTCAAATGAACCCCACAACAAAAACATACCCATAATGAGTTTATTTTGCTCACGTAGCAGAGTTGCAAGGTACCATCTGTGTGCTTCCTTGGCAACCTTTACTCAACTTGAACAGGTTTTCAATGGGATGCAGTCCAAGAACTTTCTTCTCAAAATGCCAGCAAGTATCTCAAGAACTCTTAAATCCTGCCTTGATTTAGGTCTCCTTCTCATTCCTTCCTCGGCACTCCTTCCTGCTTAAAGGGAGAACTTCTACCTATGCAGCTGATAACACTTTATCAACCCTGCTAAAATAAAAGAGGCCTTATCAAGCAGCTTTGTTTGAACTCCAGGCAGTTGGTGGTGCTTTAACAAACCGTCACTACCATGGCCTTGTCTGCACCAGGTTCTCTCCTGCACTCAGGGGTTTGCCTTACTGCTGTTACAACACAGTAAGAGAACAGCAAGAGAACAGAGGCTGGGCCAGCTGCACAGCAAAAAGCTCTTCCTTAGCATCACTGATTTCACACTAACAGAACATAGCTAAGTATCACTTAAATACCAGTTTTATCACATTTATCGATTACAGGTGCCATGACTCACTGTGAAAGGACAAGTTTAAGAACAATTTTAGCTTGAAATCAATGAAACAAGCCTGAGCTATTCTTTAACTGTTCATCTCTACCACCCTGCTTGGCTGTGACACACTGTCAAGGCAGATACTCAAGAAGAAAGCACAAGCCAAGCAGAACAGCTACAGCAAGGGAAGGAGCAGTTGCAGTACACAGAGACAAGTGTAAGACACCACCTCCTTTTCCCAGGAGAAGGAAGATGCTCTAACATTAATCTCAGTTTAATGAGATCATGCACAGATCTCCCTTACACAACTGCTGAGCCACTGCTACCCCCAGCACATGCAGTTTCATAAACAGGAGAGTGTTCAGGTGCACCTTGCATACAGTAGTCAGAGAGGAAAACTAAAAGATCCTCTCAAAAGAATTTATTTCAGTGAACCTGGAGAGACAGACAGTGAAATGAACAACTGAACAGACTGTGGCAACGCTACACGCAGGTGACTGCCCTCCCAAAACACAAACAATGTTAAATAAATATCACACATTGATTCTCCAAGAACTTTGAAAATAACTGAGAACTAATCACACAGCTCAGGCAAGTTCATATACTTCCAACAGCCTTGTGCTTGGAGTTACCAGGAACCGCCCACCTGCAACGAATTTGGGAATTGTGCAAACCTTGTGTGTCATTATGACTCCTATTGTGTTCTCCTTGTCATGGGGGCATGGCAACACGAAGTTTCAAAATGCTACAGCACAACAAAGTCTTTGCACTGAACAACATTATTGCCCATGATGCAAAACCCTTTGTATGCTTTGCTCAGAAGTGTGAATCAAACAGAAAAGTGGCTCGTAACTTTGGAGCAGCACTTTACACACAGTGGGTCCATGCAGCAAACTACAAAAGAATTCGCTTCATAAAGCAACACAAAGAGATCCAGCTACGAGAAACTTTTTAATGAGAACTGAAGTTTGCATACAATTTCTGCACAGAAACCAAACCAGTGCCCCCTTTGGTACTTTAAAGAAAGGTGATGGTACTAGCAATATCACATACTCTTATTGCCATGTATTAACTGAAAAACATATGTTTAAAACCTCCCTTGCTCTTTGACATTTCTCAAGCCTCTGTGTCAGCCAAGACACACCTCTTCAATAAGCAATTCCCAGGAATAATTATGTTACCATACCAGAAGGCCACTGGAAGATAAAGGGCTCTCAACTGGTTTAACTCCTCCAGTACTTTTCTTTGGTCAGCTGTTCTAGCAGATGGAATTTGTTCAGAATCAAATAAAAGATGTTCTTCAGCACCATCTTAAGAAGATGTTTGAGAACTCTTCTTCCTTTCCAATACCATGAACTGTATAGAGCCCCTTGACAGGCTACAAGCGGCACTGAGCAGGATTAGGGACTGCTCACTGCTGGCACAGATCATCCTCATCTCTTCCATGGGTCAATCTATCCCTACAAGGAACGTGCCAGGATGCACGGAGGAGCTTTGGGATGTACTGGCACTTTGCATTCCACTTGCCAGAAGCACCAGCTTCCCGAATCAAAGCTAAGATCACCAGGCAGCTGCTCTGGGCACACAGCTTCAGCTGGGACTTGGTAAAGCCAGATATTCCAGTTGACTGAAGTGCTCTCAGAGGACTACAAAGAGCAGCATTCCCCATCAAGCAAGACATGACAATGGACAATTTTAACTTCTACCATCTCAGTGGAGCTGTCCCCCTTGCCCTGTCACTATCCCACACCAGCACAAGGCTTTGTGCCATTGGCTGCAGAAACACAGACCCGGGAGTTTGATCCTACTGCTCTACACCATCAGCAACGCTAAACACAAAGACACAAAACTTTCTCCAACGCCAAGGTTCAGCTTCAGGAGAGAAGATACCAGCAACAGCCTGTTCCCGTGGCACAATGAAGGGCGACCTGAGACAAAGGCTGAACAACTTGCTTCACCGTTTTATTACACCTGTTTGCTGCCTGCTGGAAGTAACGTGCTCCTTCATCCAGCAAGTTCTCACAACTTTGGGGCGGGGAAAGAAAAACCAGTAATAGTGACAAGATGAATTTAATACAGACATACAAAAAAAAAAAAAAAAAAGAGAGAGAAAATGCTAACAGACTATCCCGAGGGAGTCACTGCAGTTCCAGTTCTTGTCTTCTCCAACACAACTGCTTGGAGCCAGCGGCAGCGCTGGAGCCCAGCGGGCCGAGCTGCGGGCAGGGGCATCTGGCAGCGCAGGACGGGCGGGAGCGGCTCCCGCAGCCCCGCGGAGGCTCCGGACCCGCTCCAGGGCCGGGCAGGAAGTCCCGGAGCGGCCACTGCCGCCAGCTCCCCCGGGGAATCCCGGGATGCGGAGCTGCGGCGCGGTACCCGCGCTCCGGCCGGGACAGGCACAGCGCAGCGAGCCCGGGAACGGACACGACAGCGAACAAAACGCCAAGAGCCCTCAGCGCCGCGGCTGCGACTTCACGGGGAGACACTGCCGGAGTCCCCGGTGCACCGGGGCTTCAGGTGTGCGCAGTCCCGAGGCAGCGCGGCGGGCCCGGGCACCGGCGAAGTGAACCCCCCCGGGGGCGGGGGCACCGGCCAGCACCTGCCGGCCCCGCCGCACAGCCCAGCACGGGCGGGCATGGCGGGGACCACCCCGGCGAGCTCTGCCGGGGCCGTGCCGGCCGGACCCGCCGCCGGGACCCCTCCCGAGAGCCCCTCCCGCCTCCCCGCACAGGCCCAGCGAGCGGCGCTCACCTGCGGGGGCTGGGGCCGGGCCGCCCCGGCCGCGCTCCGCTCCGCGCCCGCTCCCTTCAGCTGCGCGGCGGCGGCGGCCTCGCTCCACGGGCACCTCCGGGCGGGGCGCGGCGGGGCGGGGCCTGGGGCGGGACCGCCCCGGGGGCGGAGCCCTGATATGCACACTGTGTATATGGGCGGGGCATCGCATGCAAATGAAGCCGAGCCGCGGCTCCACCTCCCTCAGAGGCCGCGCGCTCATGAATAATTCAGCAGCACGCTCCCTGCAGCCAATCAGGGGGCGGCACCGCGCGGCTCGGGCAGCGCGGGCACCGGCGCCGGGAAAGGGCGGCGGGGAAAGGTGGGAGGCAAAGCGGCCTCCGGGGCCGGGCTCCAGGCCCTGCCTCCCGGCTCCAGCCCCGCGAGGGAGCTCCCAACTTCCACAGCCTTCCCTGGGAAAATTGGCAGACTTGGCAAAAAGCAGAGGTCTTCGCTGGAGAGAGAAACACGAGTCTCGCGGCACAGCCCCGCAGCAGCCAGCCAGTCAGCCCGTGTCCTGCTACAGGGAACAGTTCATGGACAAGGTATTTATGTAGAGAGCAGTAGCAGGTGAAGGTCTGCCCACAGTGCACTATGCAAAAGTTTGAATTTACCTCTGACGAGGGTCTAGTAACAGTATTTCACCCATGTTTCGAAAAGTGATGTTTTCAATTAAATATTCAGTTCTCTCCTCTTCTTGCACTGCTCAGCATCCCAGGCCAAAATGGAGCACTAATATCATCCTGGATCATGTTCCTATTCTGGGGTGGGTAAAGGCACCATCAGATGTTACAGTGCTGAGCAAGGCAGCCACAGTTTCTCAATCCTCTCTGCAGTGGTTATTAAATTGTAATTGTCTTGTGCTGAATCAGGGAGTCTGCCCCAGTGAAACTCACTGGGTGGCTCTCATAGAGTTCATCGATACAATTCCACCTTGGCATAAGGAGATGAGACTGATTGAAATCAACAGGAGTTAGTTTGACCTAATTCCAGGACAAACATGAGCCCTGTGGGTCAGGCTGGAGCTCTCCTGGCTGCGCCTGTTCTTAGAAACTCCCTTCCCACTGCCTTTAATCTGTAAAACAGTCTGGGAGAACGCTGAGGTCAAGCCGGGGCTGCCAACCCCGGCTTTAAGGAGAACTATCAGAACCAAAGCACTGCTGGAAGGAGGAAGAGGAAGGAGCGTGGGAGGAGCCGTCGGACCCTCACCTCAGGAGAGCTCTGCCCACTTCCAGCATCTGATAACCGGGGCGGGTGTGAAAACAGGAGCAGGCGCCGGGCCCCGGCACCCTGGGCTATGATACCTCTGACCACGCAGGAGGAAGATGAACGAGGAAGAGGAGTCGTGTGCCGACAGGAACTGCACGCGGATGTAGGGACACCTCCAGGCTCTGAGTCACGCTGCCCTCCCCGGGAACACAGAGCCAAGCACAGAGGCGTAGGAGCAGGGTTACCAGGGTTACACAGCCACAGGGCCCTATGACCTTGAGCAGGCATTCACCAGCTGCTGCTGCTGCTGCTGCTCGGGTCCCAGTAGCCTCCACAGTCTCCCTCTGGATAACTTAACAGTTCTAGGGGAATTAAGAACCACACCAAGGAGTTTGCACTATTGAAAAAGGATTTTTTTTATTGCTT